GATATTTATTGACTATTGCACAATGTTCAGCACCATTCACAACTCCTCAGATACTGAAACAGTCTATGTCAAAACACAACAAGCTCTGGACAATGTCCAGGCTTGGGCTGACAAGTGGAAAGTAACATTTGTGTGACACAAATGCCAGGCAATTACCATCTCCTGTAGGAGACAATTGAATCACTGCCCTTTGACATTCAACTGTGTTACCATCACTCAATGCCCCACTTTCAACTTTCTAGAGGGTTACCATTGACCAGAAACTCAACTGGACTAGCCACATAAATACAGTGGCTTTAGGAACAGGTTAGGGGCCAGGAATACTGCTGCGAGTAACTCATCTTCTGGCTTTCTAAAGACTCCAAAGACATCTACAGGGCACAAGTCAGGAATGTGATGGAATACTGTCCACTTGCCTGGATGGGTGCTGCTCCAACAACACACAAGAAGCTTGACACCATCCAGGACAAAGCAGCCTGATTGATTAGCACTACATCCATGAGCATCCACTCCCTCTACCACCAATGCTAAGTACTAGCAGTGTGTATTATCTACAAGATGCACTGCAATCTAGAAGCACAAGGGCAGCAGGTACATGGGAACACCACCATCTGCAAATTGCCCTCCAAGCCACTCACCAATCTCTCTCAGGAATATAAGGCTGTTTCCTCAGTGCTGCTGAGTAAAATACTGGAATTTACCTCCCTAAGGACATTGTGGGCCTAACTACAGCACATGGACAGCAGTGGTACAAGAAGGCAGCTCAATTCCATCTTCTCAAGGGCAACAAGGGACTGGCAATAAATACTGACCCAGCCAGTGACACCCGCTTCCCATGAATGAATAAAAAAATGACTTACTGTCAGGCCGGCTGAAGAATGGGTCACACGACTCTATTCATTTATCTAAATTTCATGCTATATTTATATACTTCATAATTGTAACACCATGCACACAGAAAATCATTGGTTTATACTTCATGCAATTGTTTGATAAAAGTAGCAAGTTCTCATCTGTTGATGTGCCGAAAAATAAAAGACAAAGATTTGTGGAATTTGAAGTATTCCACCTCACTTCTATGAAGCACCAGTTTCTTTTTCCACAAAAATATACTTTATTCATAAAATTTTCAATAGTATGTCATATGACAATTTAAAGTTGACATTACATACAGTGCAAATAAAATCAGTTTTTTTTTAATTTTGAATATTACTCAGCACATTTACAACTTTAATTAACACTCACTACACATGCTGAACCTACAGCCTGGAAGGTTCTGAAGAAGGGTCACTGGACGCAAAACGTTAACTCTTATTCCTGTCCACAGATGCTACCAGACCTGTTGAGCTTTTCCAGCAATTTCTGTTTTTATTTCTGATTTTCAGTATCTGCAGTTCTTTCGCATTTTGTTTTGTCAGCCTGAAAGATTTTTCAGTTTTCCGTTCCTTGTTACATTACAAATGTAGGGCCTTAGGCTGTGACTTCCCAGCACTGTACCTCAGCAGCAAACACCATAACATTTTGATGGGCCTTTTAGCACTTAGTCTTGAACTTTGGAATGTGTCAGTCTGCAACACTAGGTCTTTAACAACTCTCTGCACTAGAGCACCAACAAGTTTCAAGCAGATCAACAAGCATTTTTCACCGAGATAATGGCCCTACAGCCACAGCTGATGTTTTCTGCAGTTCACAGGTTGTGCAATGAAAGACACGTTTGAGAATGATGCTGTAGAAGAAAAAGTGGATTATTAAAATCTATTTTTTGATTTGTAATCAAAGAGAATGTGAATGCAATCCCCTGCTGTCATAAGTTTTGTAGTTGAGTATCCTACACTTTGGGAGCATTGTGAGTTTCAATGCACCCGAAGTATCTGTCATTCTTGTAACAGCTTGTTAAAAGTGAGAGGACAGTTAAGAGTCAACCACATTGCTGTGAATCTGAAGCCATGTGCAGTCCAGACTTTGCAAGAACAGCACATTTCCTTCCTTAAAAAGTTTTCTACAACAATAAGGTAATTTAACAAACATAATAACTGAGTGCAACATTTTATACCAGATTCATTAAAATCCCTCCAGTGCGACGACAGAATTTGAACACATGTCTCCAGAGCACTAGTTCAACCCTCTGGATTATTCCGATTTCCCAGCATTAAGGTCACAGGGATTACCTTGACCAGACTGTTAACCAGACCAACCAACCATACAAATACAAGAGCAATGAGTAGCATATCTTCTGACTCCCCAAAGCATGTTCATCATCCACAAGGCATATGGCAGGAGTGGGACTATTTTCCTGGATGCTCTAGCAATGCTCAAGAGATCTTATACCATTCAAAACAAAGCAGCCCACTTAATTGGTGTCCATCCACCACTTTAAACAGTCGTTCCCTCCACCATCAGTGCACAATGATAACAATGTGAATGATCTACAAAATGCACACAGGCAACTTGCACAAGCTCCATCGACTATACCTTCCAAACCTGTGACCTCCATGACCACAAGTTCCCTTCCATGAAAGATCCCATCTTGACTTGCGTCTATACTGTAGAGATTGTAATGAGGTCAGCCAGATGGACCTTATAGAGGTTGAGTTCCCTGATTGGAAAGTTCACATGGAAAGTTCATACATAATCTGGCCTCCATCCTAGCACCTTTGCATCAACCCTAAAAAAGGGGTCAGCCTTGGAAATGGTTGTGTAACCAAGCCATAGCTTTCAGTAAAATGAAAAGAGAGTTATCATCCTCTGAGGTGTTGGCACACTGTGATCCCAAGTGAGATCTGGTATTGACATGCGAAGCCTCCCCATACGGCATCGGGATAGTATTAGATCATATGTGGCCTAATGGAAAGGAATGCCCAATATTGTATGCATTCACAACTTTGGCTAATGTAGAGTATAACTACACCCAAATAGAAAAGGAAAGTTTTGCCGTCATATGTGGAATCAGGAAGCTTCACCATTACCTTTACGGATGTAAATTTGTAGTAATAATGGACTATAAACCCCTGTTGTTTTACTTAAAGAGGACAAGGCAGAGCCACCCATAGCTTCAGGTTGAATTCAGTGGTGGACTCTAGTACTAAGTGCATAGAATTATAATTGGAACATAGTCTGGGAGGTCAAGTAGCAAATGTGGATGCATTGAGCAATCTCCTGCTGACAGATATACCACCAGTGGTACTGCCACTGGGAGAGTCCGTTCTGGTTTTAAATTTTCTGGATGCACTTCCAGTCACAGCTGACAATATCAGACTTTGGATGCAGAAAGGTTCAGCCCTGGCAAAACTAAAACAGCTGGTGGTGATGGGGGAAACCAAAGGGCTCTCACAACCAGAATTGAAACCTTTTTTGACTCAGAGAGACAACACCACTGTAAAGGACAGCATTTTATTAAGGGGAGCAAGAGTGATTGTCCTGACGGTCACTGCCAGATACTGGCTGAACTCCTCCAGAGTCACCCAGGGGTTTCCAAAATGAAGATGTTGGCAAGAATTTATGTCTGGTGGCCAGGAATAGATGCTGACATAGCCGCGTTGTTGGGCTGTGCTCAGAGTGCCAACAAGAACAAATTACCCCCAGTAGCTCCCCCTATATTTGTGGGAATGGCCAGGTAAAGCCTGGACTCAGTTGTACGTTGAATACGTACTTCCATGGCTCAATGTTCTCTTTCATTGTAGACGCCCAGTCAAAGTGACTGGACATTCAAAGACTTCATTTGGTAAACACGGGGACGATGACAGAAAAACTATGCGCATCTTTTGCAATACACGGACTCCCGCAAGGTTTGGTCACAGATAATGAGCCGTTGTTTACTAGCCGGGAATTTGAGTATTTCCTAAAGTCGAATGGTATTCAATATATAAGGGCAGCTCCATACCATCCATCATCCAATGGTCTGGCAGAAAGAGCAGTCCTAACTTTGAAGGCAGGCTTAAAGAAACCTACAGCTTCACTTGATACCATGCAGTCCCAGTTCCTATTTGATTTTAGAATTACCCCTCGTGCAACTACAGGGATAGGTCCAACAGTGTTGCCAACGGGGTGAAGACTTAACACCAGGTTAAATCTGCATCTTCTCAGACCTGGAGGGGAGGGTGAAATGGCATCTGGAACGCCAATGCCAAACACAAGACTCCTCTTAGTGAGAGAGACAGTTTACTTCAGGGAACAAAGTTTGATGTAGGAACCACAGGAATGGCCCTGCATGAGTTAGAGGCATGGTCAACATGAGGTCAGAAAGAAGGGTCAACATAGGCCTAGTTGGATGGTGGATGGCAAACAGCATCTACAGATGAGCACAGAGGAAGCATGAGAATGATGTGAGACATATAAGTCTAGTATACCATGACAGAATGGTAGCATGACAGGGTGGCATGGTGGCTCAGTGGTTAGCACTGCTGCCTCACAGTGCCAGGAACCCAGGTTCAATTCCATCAGTTGGTGACTGTCTGTGTGGAGTTTGCACATTCTCCCCGTGTCTACGTGGATTTCCTCCGGGTGCTCCGGTTTCCTCCCACAGCCCAAAGATGTGCAGGTTAGGTGGATTGGACATGGTGTACAGGGATGTGTAGGTTAGCCATGGAAATGCAGGGTTACAGGGATAGGGTAGGACATCTTCGGACGGTCGGTATGGACTCGATGGCTGAATGGCCTGCTTCCACACTGTAGGGATTCTATGAAATTTAAAAAGACCTCCTGACAGGCATAGATACCTGCACACAGAGAGGGAGAGAGGAAGAAATGGAATGGAGTAGAGAAAGAGAAGTTTTGTGGTTGTGCTTTGGGATGCATCTGGGCCTCAAATTAGACAGAAGCAGATTCAACAGTATATTTCAAAGGGAACTGGATAAATACTCGAACATTTGCAGGGTTGTGAGTAAAGAGCAGATGAGTGGGACAAAGGTCTTTCAAAGATCCAAGACAGCCACCATCAGCTGAATAACCATCACCTTTGTGCAATATTTTAAGTGGCCATTTTTCGTTGCCTTCCCCATTAGGTGCTTTGTTGTGTGGATAAACAAGGAATCCTCTCCTGGCCCAGTTCATGCCCGGACAAAGTATTTTTCTTCGCTGATTCATGGCGTCGAGCCAAGCCACAGGATGAAAACCTCACAGCCTCGATCAGTCTGAAGACTGCTCCCTCCACCCGTTGCACAATGCAGCGAGGAAATGAACGCGTAAGTCACTGAGTTGTCGATTGTTTCCGTTCAAGTGTAGTGTCAGATGTATATATTACTGATGACATCAAAGAGCCTGGCATTTAAGATGATCCATTGTGCAGAGCAAAACACGATCTCACCAAACTGTCTGCTTTCTCATTGTGATCCCAAGGGAACCAAATTATTACGTGGAACAATAACTTGTAACATTATTATTCAACCACTCTGTAATAAAACAAAAGTGCTCCTGCACTAAATTGAAACTCATTTCAACCAAATTACAGGTAGCATCAGCAACTTACCAGAACAGTGAAATATTCCATTCAGTTCAATACACATTTGAAAAATTGTTACCATAAACACAATCAAGGAAAATTATCTTGAAAACATTTTGAGGTGTACATTGATAAATATTTTATTCATCACAACATTCATACATCGAAGCATGTTTTGATGCTGAAATATTTTTTGGGTGTTAAACTGACATAAGACCATTTTGAAACAGAATGATCAGTTTTCCTACAGCATATTTAACATTCTTTGGCTTCTGAAAAAGATACATAAGGAGCCTAATGCTTTTTCAGGAATGCTATGGACTCTCTGAGCCACCTATGGTCAGAAACTGAAGGTATGTGTTCAGTCCCTGTTTGATCTCGTAGCAGGACAACAGAAGATCAGGGTCAGGCCCATTTCCCATCAAACTTTATTTGGACTAAGCCAAAATTTAAGCTACTTTTAAAATCTTTGAATTTACTTGATGGTGAGCAATCTACCAGAAAAGAAAGAATTTGCATTTTTATAGTGCATTTCACAGCCTCGCAGAGCCCCAAAGGACTCTTCGCTCACACAAGCTTATTGTTAATGTGCATTTCAAGATGTATTCAAGTATATGCAGCAACCAATTTGTGCTTGGAAATCTTCACAATGAGGTAGGTGTGCAGATAATCTTCTTTTCGTGATGATGTTTGAGGGATGGAGGTTGGTTAGGAATCTTTGTGTCTATTCCAGACTAGTAGATGGGGCAAAACACAATATGCAGATGCGGTAAAGCACTAAGAGCTAGGAAGTGTGCAGCTGTACAACCTGTGGGCCTAGATATTCAATAAGGGACAATTGCAATCAGATGATCACTCTGTTTTCTGTCAGTACAGAGCTCTGCTAGCAATTCTGATTCTGACTCCTTCAGAAATGTGGTACGTACCTGAAATTAAACAGTTACCTTGTACTACAAGTTGGTCAGGGAGAATGCTCCTATGATGCTGCTTGGCCTGCTGTGTTCATCCAGCCCTGCACCTTGTTGTCTTAGAATCAAACCACATCCCGTTTTTACAGCAGTGTTCTTTGATTTACATGTTCAGCAGCATAGCCATGCCACTTTGCAATGGAAGGGTAGGTACGTAAGCTCTGTGTGGAATTAGAGTGACAGTTGGTTAATAGCTCAGGGTGCCAGGTAAGTAAGGTACCAAGTGGGTACAGTGCCTGTTCAGTAGGGCACTAGATATGTAGAGTGTCACATAAGTGATGGAGTGAACATAGAACATAGAACAGTACAGCACAGTACAGGCCCTTTGGCCCACCATGTTGTGCTGAACGTTTACCTTAATTGTAAGGTCAATCTAACCTCCACCCCTACCTTATACTATCATCCAAATGCCTATCTAATAGCCGCTTAAATGCCCCTAATCAGGCCGACTCCACTACCCTCTCTGGCAATGCATTCCATGCCCCAACCACTCTCTGAGTAAAGAACCTACCTCTGACGTCTCCCCTATATCTACCTCCACTCACTTTAAAACTATGCCCCCTCGTAATAGTTACCTCCACCCTTGAAAAAGTCTCTGGCTGTCTACTCTATCTATACCTCTGATCATTTTGTACACCTCTATCAAGTCAGAGTGCTTAGGGTAGGTTGAGTATGAAGCAGAGACATGGGTCCAGAGGTGGGGAATGTTGGTTTCTGACCTGGTCAGGGAGGAGGTGTCAGGTACAGAGGTAGGGATAAATTCTGATGGCGTGCAAGGGTGAGTTTCAACTCCCTGGGGAAAGGGGTATATTGGCTCTGTGGGGGAAATGAGTGGGGTGAGGATCTACAACTCAAGATTCTGCAGAAAGCACACAGCAAATTATTTTAGGATGAAAGCAACGGAGGGTTTATTCCTGCCTTCAAAACCCAGGGGAAACAGTTTGTGACACAGATTCACATACACATGAACACACAAATAAACAAATGCAAAAAGGAAGGAGATAAATTACAAAATTCCTTAAAATCAAAGGTATCAGAATTAGTTCATGTGAATTAAAGAGTCCAGGGTATCGAAGCCCATTTGATGTTCTTTCGGCTGGAACAGAAATCCTCTTTCATACAAACACAGATGCAGTTAAATTGCTGGTGAACATGCAGTGGTTGTAAGTTGGCAATTGGTTGACACTGCAGGTGAACTACAAGTTTGTTTCTGCATATCAGGGTTTCTACGCACATTGAGATCAAAGGCTGGCACTTGGCTAAGACTGAGCTGTTTATGATTGCAGGCCAACCAGAAAAACAAAAAAGTACAGTTAAAGATGATTCAAACAAACCAACAGTTTCTGTCATGTAACTGGGACTTCAGTGGACATACTAAGCTAATGAGGTGGATGTACTGTTCCGTCGTCTGAAACCATTTTGTTTTATAACAGATTGCTGTGGAGATGTTTGCACCAAATCGGGCAATAATGGGGTTTGATGGTTTGTTTTGTTCAGAGTAGCTGAGGTAGATGTCTTATCTACCAGTGCTTTGTGTTGGCTTGGCTGAAATGCAAGGTTTTGTCACATTGCGTGCACTTTCATCCACATAATGCTGGAAATTTCAGGAAGCAGTCAACTTGCTCATTCTGTGTTCAGTAGCAGCCATTTTAAAATCCAGCAGGAATTTCTTTTTTAAAATAAACAAGTTAATACGGTTTTTAAAAGGACAGTTTATGATCTCCCTCTTTCTGGCATCTGGGCATTACAGGACAGGTGAATGAAAGCTTCATCAATAGAGTGGATTTTAAGAAGCATCTAAGAGAGAGGCAGAAATATTTATGGAAGAATCTTACGGAAGAGAGGACTGAGGACAGTGAATGAAGAAAGAAGGGGATACACTACAGGTCAGGGCCTGGGGTCTGCAGAGATGTGATATAATTGAGGTTTCTTTGTGCTCAATTCCCGTTAAAATTTTGTACCAATGTGCTAATCACCACCAACATTAGAAGAGGATCTCTTTTGTGAGGCTGGGCTACTATTAGGGCCAGCACCTTAAACATAGCAAATTTGATGCAACTGTGCTTTTTCCTCTCTTTCTCAGCCTGAGTTGCCATCCGATGCAGTAATGGTGGATCATCAGACCAACTTTGCTATAGAAATGCTCAGCCTCTCCCAGGATCAGCAGGACCCAACTCACATTTGGTTTGATGATTCCGACTGGCAACAGCACAGTGCCTCACTAAAGCTACTTGGTCTTGGCATCCTGCTTGGTCTTTGTGATCCTACTTCAGCAGCCAGACTATTCCAGATGACTGATCACCTTTCCCACATAGCTTTGATGAAGAGCCGATGGAGCTGTTTGCCTGTTCAATTATCAGTGCGGCTATGTGAACTACCACGGATCATTGGTAAAATTGTAATATCGTGCAGTATGTTTAATTTGATGACAATATTATTCAGTGTGGTTTATTTTAGGCATATTTGATGATTGAGCTATTCTCTCCTTCAATTTATCGAACAATGTAAAAAAAGTCACTAAATAAAAATGAAAAAATTCTTGAGTAGATTTGTAGCTCAGGTCATGGATGCTGTGATTGGTTCACTCACCAAACTGGTTCGTTGGTTTGCAGATGTTTCACTACCCTGCTGGGTAACAACATCAGTGCAGCCTCCGATAAAGCATTGTTGTGTTTTCCCACTTATTATTTAAACTCTGGGGTCCATTGGAGTTGATTATCTCATTTCTGGATTTTCTTTGCACTGATGTGTATATATAGGGTCTATTTCTATGTGTTTATTGACAGCTTTCTTGGTGGAGAATGAGGCCTCTAGAAATTTCTGTGCTTGTCTCTGTTTGGCTTGTCCTAGGATCCTGATGTTGTCCCAATCGAACTGGTGGTTCTCCTTGTCTGTGTGAATGGAAACAAGCGAGTACTGGTCGTGTCTTTTTGTTGTTAGTTGGTGTTCATGCATTCTTGTGGCCAGTTTCCTTCCTATCTGTCCAATGTAATGTTTGTCACAGTCCTTGCATGGAATTTCACATGACAAACATTACATTGGACAGACAGGAAGGAAACTGGCCACAAGAATACATGAACACTAACTAACAACAAAAAGACACTGCCAGTACTTGCTTGTTTCCATTCACAGTGACAAGCAGAACCACCAGTTTGATTAGGACAACGTCAGGGTCCTAGGACAAGCTGAACAGAGAGAAGCACAGGAATTTCTAGAAGCCTGGTTCCCCACCAAGAAGGCCATTAATAAACACGTGGAATTAGACCCTATATACATACTATTGAAAAGAAAAACTGGAAACGAGGTAATCAACTCCAATGGACCCCAGATTTAAATAACATCCCAGAAAACACAACAACGCTTCACCAGAGGCTGCACTGATGATGTTACCCAGCAGGGTAATGAAACATCTGCAAACTAACGATCGAGCTCAGTGAGCAAACAAACCCCAAAAAATGAAAAGAACAGTGGATGCCGGAAATCAGAAACAAAAACAGAAACTGCTGTAAAAGCTCAGCAGATCTGGAAGTATCTGTGGAGAGAAATCAGAGTTTTGGCCCTTCATCAGAACTAACTACAAAATCACTAACTTTAGCTTGGCTCAGTAATATAAAAGATATTGTTGGCTTAAATCAGCACGGGTTTGCTTAGTCTTCCAGAGAAACAACGAGAGATGGAGAAATCTGTTGAACACATGCTGTGTTAAGATTCACCAAAATGTATTTCCTATCAGACCGTTAGAATTCTAACTTTGCTTTTTGTTCCCTTCAATTATTTCAAAAACAAGCATAAACATATTTACTGACACTAGAGATAATGTTTCAAGGGTAACATATTTTCAAGTTGGCATTTTTTACTTGAGATCAAAGTACTGAGTCAAAGCGAGAGTATGATTAAATTACCATTTTGTTTGTAGTAAGAATATGTAAGCCATGATTCAAACAGAGGTTTGTTGGGTGCATTTTTCTTTTCAGGTTGAAAATCAAAATGCATCTGTTATTAACCAAAGGACAACTTAGGGGTTTTGTTTTTCCAAATTAATTTAAGATGAAATACATGATTAATTTGGCAGTTTTTTTTGAGGTAAGCTATTACCCACTTTTTTTTATATTTCAGGGAAAATGAGAAATAGGGAGATTATGTAAAAACACATTATTTTCACAATACAGAAAAAGGCTACTTTGTCCATGGGAGTGCTTTTGCTCCACAAATTCCTTCTTCCACCTACTTTATTCAATCTTATTAGCATAACCTTCATTTCCTCTTTTTTCCTTTTGTTTAGGTTCTTTTTAAAAGCATATATGATATTTCAGCCTAGCTACTCCTTGTAGGCTAACAATTCCCATAATGTCACAACTCTGGTTAGAAAACTTTCTCCTTTATTCCTTGTTGAATTTATTAGTGATATTTTTTTCAATGGCCCCAAGTTCTGGTCTCTCCAGCCAAGTACAATTATCTTCACTATATCTAACATATCAACTCCTTTCCTAATCTTAAATATCTCTGTAAGGTCACCCTTCGTGTTTTGTTTTTCAAAGTCAAAACCTCAGCCTGTTTAGTCTTTCCTGCCAGGTATAACCACACGGTTAGAGCATTATGTTAGTAATCCTTTTTACCGCTTTCCTGCAGCATCTCTGTTTGCTTCTCATAATATGGAGTTCAGAACTTTTCACAACCTTCCAAATCTGTCTAACCAAGGCTCCATACAAGTTGAATGTAATTTTTCCTGCTTTTCAATTCCATTCCTTTAGAAATTAATCCTTTTGTTTTAAACAAGAATTGTTTTATTAACAGGCATCACTACTTTTAATGATTTATGTGTCTGTATCCCCAGATCTCTCTGTGCCTCTGTCCCTTTTAGAATCTTTCTAAAAGAGTATGTGACCTCTTTAAATGTCCTACTGAAATGGATCAACCCAACAGTTAAATTGAAATTAACTTCAATTTTGTCAGCACCTATTTGCTGCAATCTTCCTCTGAATTAACTGTACACCAATTCGGTCATTTATCTTCTTTTGCTGTCTGTCTGAAGGTAGGTCCTTGATAATTACTAGCCCAATCACAGTAAACTGCAATGAATCTTTACATAGGATAAAACGTGGAGACCTGTGCTGAGTCTGCCTCAGCCAGAACCAGGATTGTTGGTATTAGTCTGATCCAAACATGCCAAATGAATGAACCAATCCCCTGTCCCCACTTAGTATTGTCACTAGATTTTGAAGTTATGCTTCCATTTCCGAAATTCAAATCATTTCTGTAAATGGTGAGCATCAGTGATCCCAGTACTGATCCTTGTGAAACACCATTTTCCACTTTTTGGAAATGATTAATTATCTTTAACCTCTATGCTCTATTTTCTGTTTCATAGCATTGAGTACAGAAAGACCCAGAGAATTCCCAACTTGCACACTTCTGAACTTATAAACTACATGGCCAATCCTTGAGTGACATTTCATGCAATTTTTGTCTGTTCATATCAAGTTGGGTGTACAATGCAGTTTCCAAGCAGTGTTGGATTTCATGAGAAATGTGGCTGTGGCGGTAGGCCTGATTGAAGGTTTTGGTTTAATTCTTTAACATGGTATCCTAGCTCCCAAAAAAGTTAAAGGACCCCTATGTTTCACTTCTCACCTTCATCAGCTCCCCTGTAAGTCCATAGTCCCTCAGATTACCCATGGCATCCAATGCCATCTCTAAAGCCCATGTATCCTCCATAGCCATTCACCCACTATACACTATATACAATCTTCAGATTCCATGCAATATCACTGGGAAATATTTTACATTCCTGAGGGGAAAGATGATCCTCTAACCATCTAATAAAAGCCTCTATATAATTGATCATGAGAAAAATATATTGTATTCTGACATGCCTGAAAATGAACTTGAAATACTTGTGAACTTATTAGCTTTTGTCAAAAGGGACAAAGGGACAATGTGTTGTTACAACTTCTTGAAATCATTAATCATACACATATAAATGAAACATACAGCACTGAAACAATCAGATCTTGAAACTCAGTCAGGCATTGCTAATGGGCACAGCTGTTTAAACAGCAGATTAGTCTCTGAAACAAAAACAGAAATTGCTGGAAAAGCTCAGCGGGCTTGGCAAAATCTGTGGAGAAAAATCAGAGTTAATGTTTCGGGTCCAGTGACCCTCCCCCAGTTTTTGATTTCCAGCATCTGCAGTTCTTTCAGTTTTGATTAAGCTCTGCAGATGGTTGGAATTAATAGAGAGCAGTTCTTTCCGAGCGGATATCTTTTAAAGAGTTAAAGCCAGGACTTTAAAAAAAAACTAGAACAGTTTAAATCTCAGTAGAAAGGATTACAGAACAAGCTTTCAGAACATTTTGTAACATTTTTCATGCTTTCTCCATTGGAAAAGCGTTGTGATACATGTGAACAAATATGCAATGTAAACTCTGAAGAGTGTATCTCAATGGTGAATTACTGCATTGAAACACATCTATATGAAAATGCAGTACTTAATATTCGCAATTGAAGACTATCAAAATACATGGATCTTACAGCTGCTCCTGGGTTTGCAGGTTTAAGTAAAGATTTATTATAGATTTTTTTACAGTTAGTATAGTCATTATAGTTTACTAATATAAGTTTCTTTTTCCATTTTGTTTTATTAACATTCAAAAAACACAAAAAAGCCAAACAAAAAATCATGACTTTTTTTCAAATGGACTTTTTAAAAATTTTATTTAAGATTCTGCAGTCAACAGTTGAAGTTTCTTTAATTCTTAATTCAGAAATGAAGAAAAATCTATATGTGTTTTAGAGGGTGTTTTTTAACATTACAAAGGTTTTATTTTTGAAAAAAAAACAGTTTTTTGTTTAAATAAGAAGTTGTGTTTTCATTCCGGAGAGTCCTACACGCAGTCAGATCTGGAGAGGATTTTTTTTCTCAAGGAATTTATTGAAGAGGAATCGTTTTTATTCAGTTAATCAGCGAAGTGGATGATTTTATTTAATTTTTATATGTTTGATATATATATACATTTACATTTTCTTTTCCATTTTAACATTATTTTCCATAGGCAATGATAGGTAGTTTATTTTATATATAAGGTGTTATTGAAACATCCTGTTTTTAAGGCTTAATGTTATTAAGGCCATATATAAGGTACAGAATGAAATGGCTAGTAGATTTAGAGAAGTTATTACACAGCACAATCAGTCAGATAGATGGGTAACTGTCAGGTAAAGGTCAAAAATCACATGAAAGCAGGTTATAGTCCAACACGTTTATTTGAAAACACAAGCTTTCGGAGCTTTGCTTCTTCATCAAGTTTAGTGAGAGAGGCATCATGTCACAGAGTTTATAAGTAAAAGATCAAAAATCATACAACTGATGCAAATGTATTGAACAAACCCAAAATGGCTGACTGACTCCTGCCTGCTAAATCTTTAATCAGTTCGAAAGGAG